ATTATTCATGCTAGTTACACTATTCATAAGCATTATAATAGTGATATAACATAATGGATGAAAAACCATTGGTTTACTATCTTTATCACAATAGACATTATTAAAAAAAATAGGATACAGTTTTGCTTTAGTGTTTTAATATGAGAGCAACATAGCAAAAGTACTATTTGTGAACAGTATTATTTTTTTTTACTGAGAAGAGTTTAGCGTCAAGTTGTCCCAATCGAATATGGTTAAAACCAGATGATAAAGTAAAAGAAAAGAAAAAAAATTCCTCAATTTTTTTGCCAACACACACGCATCCACTACGATTTTGTTATTCTATTGAAGATCACATGCAATTTTGAGTCGTTGTTAGTTTTACAATTGTTTCATGGTTTCACCTCCACATATTTGATAAGCACATTGTTCTTCTATTTGATTTTATAGACATTTGTATGTTAAACCAATTCATGAGCATGATTTTCAGAATCATTATGCAGTGAGCATATTTTATGTGTTCTTTATTGTGAAAGCCTTGTTATCGATTTCTCTCTTTGGAAATAACAACATCATTTTTTACTTAGAATAAAAAAATATTCCTTCTAAACAGCCAGTTTTATTTGAGCAACATATTTCAAAGTTTGACCCTAATAAAGTTTTAAACTTTAAAACTTTACTCTTATTATTCTTACCAGAAAAAATTTAATAAATTAAACTGAGCAAAATAAATTCGCCATCAAAAACCTACCTTGATTATCAAACTAAATACTTATAAGATTTATGTATGTATTTACATTAAATTTTTTATTACACATATTTTTTTTTGTTATGTTATCTTTAAAAATAGTACAAATATTTTTAATGAGGCACCGAAAATGAAGTACAAAATCAAGCAAATGTAGTTTTATTATTTAAATATTTATGAAAATCAATTGTCTATCAAAGAAGTGAAGTATTGTTTAAAAGTAAGAGGATATCAGACATGAAAAATGAAATGAAAGATATTGATAACAAAAATTCATTTTTGTTATCAATATCTTTCATTTCATTTTCTTATATGTGTATACTACGCATATAAGAGCAAATGAATCTTTTAGCTTTTGCTATCAACTCCAAAAATAATGATTGATTATTGTAAAATTTGAATGCAGAATATTTTTCATTCATTTAAATGTACAATTATTTTTCTTTTTCATTTCATTAAGACATAGTGTACACAGTTTTTAGTATATAATTTAACAAAAATAAATTTAAATAAGTGAGCCTAATAAATATTTAGCTACTCTAGGTAAGTATTGGAAATATTTTTTTTGGAAAAATATTTTTCTAAAAATGAAAAAAGTAAGAACAGGGATTATAAAGATTTAAGCAGGAGTTCTGTTTACTTATAAAATGCACGAATAAAATATTTTTATTGATTTATTTCTGCATAGGTGCATTTTTACACTGAATTATTTTTATACTTTTTATACATTACATTGGAATGTCTACCTATCGATGTAGATTCACACTGAAACACTTTTAACAATTTGTGTGTTTTTACACTATGCAGGAACACAGCAATATACATTGATAAAAATTGCTTTTATGTTTCCCATATGATATAATATGGAATTAGAACATGGCTCGATACCGGACTGAGTCTTCTCCAAGTAGCAATTTGTCTCTTAAAATCATATCAAATCCTTACTACGTGGAGGCTGAGTGGTAGTGGCTGTATTTGGCGGAGTGGCAGTGGGAGCAGGAAGTTCCCGGGCGCGCGAAGGGGTCCGCGACGCGTCTCCTCGGGGCGCACTACCGCCACGCGAATTTGCACCGCTGCCCGACGACGGACGGACACTACTGCCGGTACTGCCGCCGCTACTGCTGTTATTGCTGTTCCTGAAAGTACATGTATAAAGAACATTCAATAAGTTCTCGGCATAGATATATATGAAAAGACAGAAATTCATACCTACATTTTTATTTATTTTCCAACATTGTCCCCCTTCATCTCAATATGTTTATCAAATATTAAGTAATTTTTTACACCCGTATAAAAGCAGTTTTAACATCCACAATTCAATTTAAAGTCAACATTACAAAATGGGTACCAAAAAGTTCAAGTCGGGGTCAATTAACAAAACTGATAACAGAGGCTAAAGTATGGAAACTCGCACAGAATATTAATGAATGAAAGTTGAAGCAGTCACCCTGCCACTAACCGATAGCAGAGGATGAGAAGGATTCAAATCACTTACGAGGTAGCGCGTATGACGCCGTCTGATAGTTATTATAAAAAACATTTAATGATTGGTAACAATGACAATAATATTTAACACCGTGCACATCAAAAGCTAATATATATGTCAAAAATTAAATATCTAAAAATCACTAATAGATGAAAAATACATGTTTCAATTTAAAATGTGTGAATATGTTATATGAAAGTGTAACATCAAGGAACATCTTTACTTTTTGTTAACCCTTGATTTCGCATCCTATTTAAGTATTGTGGACTATATATGAAAATTAATTCTTAAGAAATAATCTCCAAAAAACTGGTACATTGACATATTGTCATGCTGACAACCCTATGCATTAAAACAATTATATAACATGGATTATAACACCATAGATAGAATACAATTAGTCCAGAGATATAGTCACATTACACATTCATGCCATGAATGTTCCTCAACTCATAAACTTTGTGATGCTTACATCAGCACAGTTGTGTCTGTAATTTTGTTACCTCAATACTATCTTACTATAAATAATACCCATGTTGTTCCTAATTAGATATATGAAAGTCTGATTTTTAAACTTCTGGAATGTAAAAAGCACATGACAAAAATTAGTCAGTTGGCAATCTAGAAAACTGGCTTCCAAGTGTAAGGGTTTCTGTAAAATGAATCATAGTTTAGACCTGGTTCCTAGTAACTTTTTTTTTAAATATACGTAATATGCGGCTGTAGATTGCTGGAAAAATGTAAGCTAATACAAAAGAGGCACTTTAAGGAGGAGTATTCTATGGAAGGCATGAAAATATATGGTACTAGCGGGGGACTATGTAGAGATAAATTTTAAATATTTTTGTCATTTATTACTTTAAGGTGTAAAATTTCTCAGTATTAAAAACCAGATTAAAAATAAAGTTAGGTTTTTTATCTAATTAATAGGTTTTATGCACAAGTCAATATTTGGATTGCAATTATAAATATCTGTATGTGATAAAACATTTCTATGATTTTTATATTTTATATTTATATCTTAAAGTGGACACATAGATTACAAAATTTGGCTGAAATCTTTGAAACACATACAAAAACTAATTTTATACAAAACTAAAATTAGATTGTAAAAAAGATTTCACATTCCACACTGAAATTAAATAAATTTTCATTGGTTTTGTTTAAAGCCATTTTAACTTGACAATGCAAAAAAATTATCATGAATACCAAATTTAGAAATAAAAGACAACTAAGAAACAATAAAAATATATATTGAAATGTAATATGTTTTATCTTACCCCATAGTACCAAGAAGTGATGAAAGCCCACCAATCTGACCCACACCTCCAAACAATTGCATTAATTGATGTTGTGACATATTGTTTAGGATATTCTGAAGTTCGCCATCCTGTGCACCACCTCCACTGCCACGGCCACTAGAAGTAGGCGGGTTGTTGAGGACTTCATTAATACGTCGGCAATATTCATCATCTTTATCGGTTTTTGGTTCCTGTTTAGAACACAAAAAACAAAAACATTTAAAACGGTAGTTAATTTTGTTATTAATGCAGGGTAGTATGCATCTTCAATTTCATTTGATATTTATAGTTCCTCGGTTTTCTACTTGCATTTCGCAGACAAATTAAGTTTTACAATTGAAAACAAAGATGATAGATGAGTTATAGATAAAATACTAAACTATTTAAATAATAGTACGTTCTATGTCTTCTGAAGAAGAAAAAAGGAAATGTTATAAATTACCTGCAACCAGAAGAAATACTTTTTGGATGACGATTTGAACTTAAGAACGTATACGCGGCCTGTTGTACACTCATTTACACGAAGAAATTCACAATCGTCTGGAAAGATGAGCAAGTCATCTTCGACATCACCAGTAGTACGGTCCTTCCAGCAAAAATGCATAAGTGAATCTTCACCTTGGTATACATACAATAACCCCTTTCTTTTGTCTGGATGAACCGTGCGGCCCTTTAAAGTCATTCTTCCAGCTCTAAATTCAACCAAATGCTTGTTACCTCCAGAACTACCTCCAAGTGAGGAAGAATTGCCGAATAATGCTCCTGAAGTCATATTGAGGAAATTTTCGGAAATGTTATCCTGCTACCTGCCAACCAACAACGGCACTGACTCGTATTATCTCTTTGAAAAATATTTAGAATCAATAACAATTAGTTAGGATTTGCTTCTCAGAACATAATGAGAATTGGCTTTTGCCTCATTTTAGTTATTTTTGGTTACGATATGCTTCGTCAGTGCTACCATAGATTAAAAGAATTGAGTCGAAGGTTGAAAACATAGAGAGCGCTAGACACAGAACATTAGGAGATATTATAGCATAGAATATTAAAGAAAAATAAAAAGATAAAATGGCAATATGTAAATATTATAACTTATGTACTTTATGGCACTATGCTAATCTGAAATTCCTTTAAAAAATAATACCTGTAAATGCAAAGTGAAAACACAAAGGGCTGTATCTGCTTTAGCGAAAAGCTGCTGAAAACGATGAAAGAGGACTTTGATGTAGCTGGACTTATTGAAACGAAAAACATTATTATTTTACAAGAGGGCTTGATTTCATTCATGATTCGTGTTGTGTTCCTGATAGACTAATAGTAAAACGCAACAAGGACAAGGTTTCAAAAAAAATTTTTTGAAGTTATATTTCTTTAGGCGAGTTATGAAAAAATGATGAGAGTGAAATTTTAAGATGCGCGCGTATCAGTGCAACACAAAATTAACAGGTTTTTTGATATATATAGGTTTTTCGTATGACATCTCAATGACCCATTAGCTCAATTGATTAGAGCGTCGTGCTAATAACGCGAAGGTCGCGGATTCGATTCCCTCATGGAACAAGTTTTTATTATTCGTAAATATTAGTAAATAAAATTGTGCTTATTTACTTTTTTAAGTGCTCCAATTGAGGTTAACTATCCATATGTATTATTTATTGATATAAATTACAATATTATTTAATATAATTAATACTAAACATTATTAAATTATTAATATTAAATATTTATTATTGGTTATTTAATATTTACAAAATAAAGAACTAAATTTAAAAAGACATTTAATAAAAAAATTGTGATAAAATTAAAATTGAACATGAAATTAAAATATTATTTTTAATATTAATTGTTAAATTGAATAAATAATAAATATTTATTAAAAGAAATAAACAAATTTAATTAAAACTTATTGACAAGAATGAAAAGTGAATTTTAAATTAAAAAAAATAAATATTTAAAAAATGAACAAACTTAAATTTATTATTAAATTAATTAATGTAATTAATTATTTATTAAATAATGTTGAATTATTAATTATTGTAATTAATTATTTGCATGCAATTAAAAACTATTTTTTAATGATGCCAAAGAAGTATAATTTCTCATGCGCATATGTAAGTACCCGCACCCATTTTTTTTCCTTTTGCTATGAGGAGGAAGTAAAAAATGCATAACGTGCAACGCCAACCTCGTTGCGTTAAATGTCTGGTCCCGCACTGGACCAGAGATTGCCCTCTCTCACGCGATTCGGAGGAAAAACCCTCCTGCGTAAACTGCGGCCAGAATCATACGGCCAACTATAGGGGATGCCCAAAGGCTCCCAAATTCATATCTAAAAACAGGCCTAACACTAAAAGGCCCTCTTACGCCCCTGCCCCCTTCCCGGGATCTGGCAAATTTCCCGGCCCTGGCGTCAAAAAGACAACCCGGCTGTCAACTTCCACCCCGCCCCGCGCCCCCAACTATCCGTGGACAAAGCGCGAACGCAGCAACCGCCGAGCGTCACCCCGCGGCCGCTTAGGGAAGCTCAACGTCCCCCCCCAGGGCCGCCGCCACTGGCATCCGCTATCGCAGGTTCATCGTCGTTTGGAGAAGATATCCAAACGGTGATAGCCGTTCTCCGTGCGGTATCGAGTTTGAAAATATCCGAATTCGCGGCTCAACTCCGAGCCTGTAGGAACACGGAAGAAAAACTTCTCGTGTTGGTTAGGTACCATCACCTGATGGTAAGACTAGAATCCATCTAAATGTCTACACCTGGTGTAGCAGTTTTCCCCTTAGGTGGACGCCGAAACCAAAAATAAAATTATTATCGTTTAATGCGAACGGTTTACCGAAAAATATTCCCGAACTGACGAACTGTATGTCGGAGTACGGGATCGATATTGCGCTCATTCAAGAAACCTATTTGAAACCAAATAGGCCTAGAGCTTGCGCCATCGCAGGCTACGTACAGCTACGAACGGACAGGACGCACGCTAGAAGAGGCGGTACAGCCCTTTACTATAATCGCTCGCTCCATTGCTGTCCCATTACAATACCTCCACTAGTTAATATGGAAGCTACGGGATGTAGACTTGCTATGACGGGTCATAGTACTATAGTCATAGTCTCGGTTTACCTCCCGTCCCCAAAACCGTTGCTCCGGAGTGACCTTAGAGCCCTCCTTGGCCTAGGAGATGCCGTCATTCTCTTTGGCGATTTTAATTGTAAAAATCCCAGATGGGGTTGTGCCGTAATGGATGAAAATGGAGAAAAACTAGATCGACTCCAAGACAGACTTGAGTTCGAAATCGTTACACCCTCTACGGCGACCTACTTCCCTCATAACGACACTTATAGAACGTTAACTTTAGACATTGCTTTGATTAAAGGAGTCGCCTTAAATTTAAATAGTATTGAGCCTCTTCATAGACTCTTATCCGATCACCGGCTGGTATTGCTAAAAATGGGTCCTCCCGACGGCGGGAGGCCTGTTTCCACCGTCAAAATTACCGACCGGAAGAGAATGTCGACCGCGTTCGAAAAAATCGACACTCCTCCTCTCAATAGCATCCCTAATGACATTAGTACGATCGAACAGATAGACCATGCTATAGGTGGTCTTACCAGTCACGTCAGGACAGTGGTCGAGAAATGCGAGCGGGAGGTTCCGGCATCTTCGGATCACCGGAAGTTTCCGCCTGACATTCTCGAATTGATAAGAGCAAAAAACGCAGCTTTGCGCCGCGCGAAAATCACCAAAGCGCTTAAAACAGAGGGGTATACTCCTATACCCCCGCTTAAAAGACTTGATGGTACAACTGCCCTTGACGACGTGAAGGTAGCGGAGTGCATTGCAGACTCTATAGAGACTTAATGCTCTCACGTTTTTCCTCCGCATGACATAGCTCATATCAATAGTATCGAGGAAGAGGTTCTTCAAAAAACCTCCCTCGAACCTAAAGATGATTTGACTCCTGTCTCACTCAGCGAAGTCCAGTTGCTGGTGAAATCACTCAAAACCAGAAAGGCACTGGGCCTCGATGGTCTAAGTAATAAAGCAATTAAATGCTTTTCCCAACCTTTGTTAAGTCTACTGGTCGCGATTTTTAACGCGTGCCTTCAAAATTGCTATTTTCCCTCCGTCTGGAAAGAGGCGGAGGTAATCGGCATCCACAAGCCAGGGAAGCCTCGCGACCTCCCCGCCAGTTATAGACCGATCAGCCTCCTGAGCGGTCTGGCCAAATTATTCGAGAGAGTTTTTAAAACTCATCTCAGCAAACACCTATTCGGCAAAGGCCTTATCATTGATGAACAGTTCGGTTTTCGTCCGGCCCACTCATGTCCACTGCAAGTTCTCCGTCTAGTCGAATATGTCATGGAGGGCTTTAAAACTAAATAAAAAACCGTAGCTGTCTTCTTTGACGTAGCTAAGGCCTTTGACAGAGTATGGCACGCCGGTTTGGTATATAAATTATATTCCCTCGAAGTACCAGATCGTCTCATATTCATTATTCAAAATTTCCTCTCCAATAGGTGTTTCCCGTTTGGCATGAGCGTACTCACTCGACCAGACGATTAATCAGAGTCGGAGTTCCGCAAGGCTCCGCCCTCTCTTCCCTCTTGTACTCCGCGTACACCAACGACATACCGCGCCCGACGTCCGGCGTCCAGCTCGCGTTTTCGCTGATGATACCGCGCTCTTTTTTAGGAGTAGGACTAGGCGCTCCATCTTCCGCCACCTTCCGAAGGCCATTGATGAGCTAGGTCAATGGTTCCGGAAGTGGCGGATCGAGGTAAATCGGGATAAGTCGGCAGCTACACAATTCAAGTATAGCAATAATAGGTCTCAACTTGTTGTCGACCGGAATACTCCCAACCTCCAAATGTTGAACGCGAGAATTCCGTGGCAACGGTCTTATAAATACTTAGGTGTCACGCTCGATAAGAATCTCCACTTTCGAGAACATATCGCGCGTGTTAGAAAGAAGGCGCTTTTCTACACAGCAAGGCTCGGAGCCATGCTCGGTAGGAAAAGCAAATTATCTAGGCGCAATAAGCGCACGCTTTACAAAACGTGCATTAGGACGGTGATAACGTACGCGTCTCCAGTATTCGCTCACGCCGATTCTAAAGTACTATATAGGTTACAAGTAGTACAGAATAAATTCAGTAGAGCAGCAATGGACGCACATTGGTGCGTTCGTAATTCCATTCTCCATAGAGACATGGAACTCCCAACCCTCACTAAGTACGTGAAGGACGCATCGAAGCGATTCTTCGACATCGCGGGATCACATCCCAATGCGCTCCTTCGAGCGGCGGTTGACTATCAGCCGCCGCCTCCCACCCACTTTCTCCGTAGGCCACGGAATGTACTAATAGAACCACTTGACGCTCTTACAGCGGCAGTTGATAGCCTTAATGACGTCAACGACACGCATGACTGACTTAGAGTAGGTCAAACTGATAGTTAGGTCATCAACCTGAGCTCCCTTACTCCACCCGGCCACCGCAGACCGCTCCCGGTCGGGCAGGAGGAACGGGAACCGACCAGTGACGGTTTCCGGTGACATCCTATGCCGAGGCGACACTCGTCAGGAGTCGTCCATAGGGCATGTCACGCGCCGTCGGCACTCACACGTGCCGTCCGGCCGCGCTCGGTGAAGCTATAGAAGTCGTCCGACCGGTCGCCAGACTCGTCGCCTGACTATATAGCATAGCCGATCACCGACTTCACTTTCAGGGGAAATTTTTTAGTGGGTTTCAGTCCCACACTACCCACGCGTACGGGCGCGAGGGTGTGCAGGATAAACATTTTTAACCCCCTCCACGTCGCAAGTGGGAAACCAAAAAAATACATAACGCACACCCACGCACCCGTGCCTAATAAAAAGTTCCCCTGAAGAAATGGCGGGTCGGCAGTGCTGTTAGTTGGAATGCTGTAATAGCTTCATCGAACGCGGCCGGACAGCACACGGGGGGGTGCCGATAGCATGTGATATGTCCTATGGGCGATTCCTTAGGGGATCATCTCGGCATAGGATATCATTGGACGCCGACACGAGTCGAGTCTGTTTGTTTTACCTGACACGGAAGCGGCCCGGTGGAGTGGAGTGATATGGCCTAATTAGACCTCACTGATTGAGGGATACCTATGATTAGTCGTTAATTAACGATTAATTTTTGAAGTCAACGACTCATTGAGATTAGCGCGCATCGTAAAAATTCACTCTTATTATTTTTCTCTGACGCGCCAAAAGAAATATAACTTTAAAAACACTGTTTATTTTAATTAATTTACTTTGCAAAGATAGCGTATACGCTACCTTCGATTTATTAGAAATGAAGGCTTTTTTTAAGCTTATTTAAGCAACTCGTTATTTTTTCAGTAATATTTTTAAATTACGTTAAGGCTGTCATTTTATTAGTATGTTATTGATCTCAGAAAAACTTCCTGTTTCGATTAAGTTTAGAGTATAATTAAGTATTAAAAACTATTCGCTTAAGTTTTTTGTCATATTTTAATATTTTTTTAGGTGTCTTAGGTATAGACTGAAAAAAATTACCTCAATTGAAAG